AGTGGTTTCCACATTTGCTCTCTCAAAGATAATTTTAAGTGCATTCAGAATAATATTACTGTGGGTTACTCTCAATTGCCCTTTGCAAACTTGCAAAGAACTTGCATTGGTCTCTTGTTGTGGATTCCTTTTCTGACAGAAAAGTAAAATCTAGAAATGTGTATAACGACCAGAGCTACAGTGAGAAAACATAAAGCCCACAAGAACATGTGATACAGACTTATTTCAGTTTCAACGAGGTGGGGGTTAGGGAACACCGTCAACATCCACTTATTCCTGAAACCAGGCATTCTGGACAGGCTGAACTATAACATGAGTTGAACACAGTATGTGCCGTCTCCCAGACCAGATTGTGGTAAAGGGAACAGTCACATGAATGTAATCCATGCTCAGGCTCAGGCCCTAATTATATGGGAAGAACGTGTGGTGTGACAACTCTGGTGGGGATTGTGGTTGTGTCCCAAAAGGCTGCAGCTGACCCACTGGGGAAGGAGGAAAAAAGTGAGAAAATGACACACACAGAGCAGAGAATAAAAGACTTGAGGATGCAGGAGTGAGGAAGGTGGTAGTATATCCTATTAGGATAAAAAAAGGAAAGAAAAACAAGAGTGGGCAAACGTCTGCCATTACAGGCAAAGGTTACAAGAGGAGTCAAACTCTCTTTTGCATTGCTGCCGAGTTAGACCAGGGCCTTATAGAAAGGATTTAAGAGCAAACAGCAACACCACCAAGCACCAGGGAGAAGGGGGGGGGGGATTGCCCAGCAGGATCTGGAGGGTGGGCGAATAGCAAGCGGCTGGCTTGAGCGGCTACTCTGATCAGGATCCATTTCCAGTCCAGGCCTTGGAATTCCTTTGTTCCTGTCACAGGTCTCCATTTTCCCCTCGCTGTAATCCCAGTCCGCCTCATGCCCAGTCACACAGAGTAGGGCAGGTAACCCTGTCACAGACATGCCTCTCTATTTACAGACCAGACTGCTCTTTACAGCTACAGATACATAAATAGTAAAAGCCACAGTGAAGGAAAGATGATGAGTTAATACAGGTTGTCACATTGTCAGCTGAAACAGTAGGGAGCTCCTCACTTGACAGGAACTGATTCTTGCTGAAAGTAACACCTTAGATATGTAATGAGTCGTCATTCATTGTTTCTTCTACAACAAGTGGACTTGTTTTTTTAGTTGAGCCATTTCCAAAGAGGACAAATGTTATCAGTCTAGTGCAGGCCATCCAACAACGAGGAAACAAGTCAGACAAAAAGACAAAGCATAATGTATTACATGCAGGGGCAAAAATTTGGCCACCCTTTTATCAGTCTTTTCACACACGCACTTTGTTCATAGAGAGAGATGGTCATAATGGTCGTAAACACATTGTCCAAAAGTAAAGTTATCCACCAACACTGGTGCCTTTTCTGCCTTTTCAGCCTGCCTTAAGCCCCCTTCATGGTGCTGCCAAGAGGAGTCAGTGGTACAGTGTGCAGCGCTCGCAAAGCTCTCTCCCACGGCTATTAGTGACCATTCATCTGGGAAGCCTGGGAAAAATGCCTGCCGTGGCCATGGGGAAAAAGCCTGGCAGGTGTTCTCTTCCTCTAAGCCCTGACACCTGTGAAGAAAGAGAAAGAAGGAACCAGCTCTGCCACGGCCGAAAAACAGACTCTAGGTACCACTTGGCAAGTTCTGATCTCACCACTCTCAGTTTAACCCGAAAACACTGGGCTAAACTTTACAGGGAGCTCTGCCTCACAAGGAGAAATTCATGTGGCTGTATCAATAGTCAAAAGTACATCTCAGACATCTGGATTACGCTCGGTCTTTTGAAATGGGATGTTAACTAAAGCTATGTAAAATGAGCCTCCTCAGTTTATACTCCACACTAATACACACACACACACACGTACAGACAGGCATACACACCACAACTACAAAACCAACAAGACCCTGAGAAGTGTTGATTTTGTCACCTATAAGACTCAATCCACATCATTTTTTTCTAAAACAAAAAGCAAACAAAAACTAAATAGGAGGTTATGTTGGACTAAATGTCAAAAACGAAATATTAAATATAATAATGCATTGGGCAACTAATAAAATCAAAACTGAAAAATCTTGTAAAGACAGCATCCAGTCAGCACTGATTTTGTCATGTAGTGGACCAAATAAGGATGAGAGCCAATCAGAGGTCATTGTTGGCTTTAAAAAATGTAATGTGGTGTTATACATTTTGTAAATTTAAAATTATTACACATTGCTTTTTAGTCTAAATTGGATTGACTAAAAGTAACATTTCTATTGACTGGGACCAGTTAGAACTTAAAGGAGCACCTTGGTTGGTCCTTAGCATAGTTTGCTTAGTTTCTGCTTGCTTAGGAAATTTTAGATACAATTTTTTCTACTTCCGAAGTTAGATGATTACATTTTAACAATAAATGTATGTTACACATGTTTTTACTGCACTGGTGCAAATATCGCCACTGGTTTATACCACATCCTACAATGCAGCAGCATACATGTGAACATAACTGCAACACACATATTCAATTACCTGTGTATTTACTTAATCATCGCGTTCAATGACAAAAAAACTTTTTTTCGGAGCACTAGGAGCCTGTTATCCACTCATTTCAGAACGGTAATTACTCTGAGAAATGTGGGTGTGATCAGAAGTGTGTGAGAGGGGGGGAGAGGAGGAAGGGGAAAGAGGGGGGGGGGGGGGGGGGGGGTGACAGCTAGAAATTGGCCTTTGCAGCTGACATTTGAAAAGATGACTTGGATTTATGTTGGCAGAGGGCATGGGATAACACTCTCTTTTCTCTCTGATATTCACTGGGTACCACACAAACACCCAATGAGATGTGTCTGAAAAAACAGTAAGAGTGAAGGAAGGTAAAGGCTGTTGATGGCTTATTTGAAGTGCCAACAGCTGAGGTTCTTTTTTACTGCTAGCTGTTGGCGGAAACTGCTGTGATTTCACACTGGCATCAGCTCAAGCAGAGTCATAAAAGACCTTCACTCCTTACCATACAACCCCACACATATAGCATTGCCACACTCCAGTTGCCTATGCTTGGCCAGACACCAATAATACCCTGGCCCACACCTACATGTATGTGCACGTGTTTCAGCACATACATGTCTGACTGCAGGATATCCAGCCTAATTTTGTTCTCAAATAACATAATGGTACACACACACACACACACACACAAAGACACACACAAACCCACACACAGACGGACAGATGCAAAAAAGATCTGCTCCTGTAATGGATATAAACAAAAAGGCTGCTGGCTCCTGACTGTGGACGGCGTAAAAGTCCCGTGGGGATTAGCAGGTTAGTGTTTGACCTGCCTGCACAACAGATGACCCCCAATACCTAATATCCACCCTGAGGTTTGTTGGTCTTCCTTCCCTAAGCCTGTAGTTTGCCCAGCCCTTTTTATGGCTCCTGCCTGCCTGCTCTTTTCTCAGCCTCAGTCTCCACCTTTACTGCTGTGCTGCCTGCCTTACTTAGGACAAGAATGGAAAGGCCAAGAATGTCATTACACCCACCTAAGACGTTTAATGGGACAACGACACATGAACTGTGCAGCCCCAGTGAGACACTGTACATTTTCATGTTGTGAGAAGAGGAATTCTGTGATATGGTATGGAGTCGCGTTCCACTACTTACATTCTTCAGGGCAGAGTTGCCAGGAGCTTAATCGCTTTACATGCATATTTTACATGTGAAGTGTTGATAGTCCCCCTGGTTATGAAGCATGTGAATGTGTGCACACAAGTGTCTGTGTGGGGCTCCAGTCTATGATCTCCATCATTAGAGATCTGTCTGTCTCTCCTCAGTCAGTCAGAGGGGAATATGAGTCAGGCTTTTTAGGAACCCTACACTGTCAGCCTGTTCACACCTAGTCGGTGGTGGGGTTAAATCTCTCCAACAAATATCACTCTGTTCCTATTTAACTCTGAACATTTAACTAACTGATGTGTTTGAAAAGCTGACTGTGTGCTCGCTTACCTGCTCATTTTGACATTATCAGTTAGATTGCAGACAGCGAGCAGTGCAGGACAACAAAAGTACACATTTCTATGCAACTGAAGTGGTTGAGAGAACCAAAATGGAGAGAGGAGTAGCGTGAGATGAAGAGATGCAGAGATGCAGCCACAGGAGAAATTTTATGGGCCAACTGCCCTGTAATCCCACTCTCACAATCAGGCCTGCCCTGCTGAGAGAGCCCAGTTTAACTACTCTTAACTGCTACCTGTGACAAACCTTTGTGTCTTACAACACGCAGCTGGGGGTTTCTCTGAGGCTAAACTTACAATGCTTCAAAGGCATCTGTGTGGGTGGCTGTGTCGGATGAAGTGAATAAGATTATTTACATTTAATAATCTAATAATAATTCATCAGATGCCCCTTGTGTTTATGTGATATCTGATGTTTGTATGGTTAAAAAAAAGGGCAACAAAGATTATCCATTTTAGTAGACTTACATTTTTGGATGTAGAAAGACATCTGATAAGTGCCAAGTTAAACAGTGCAACACCGTCATAGCCACCAAGTCCCAACTAGTTTTGTTGTCTTTCCACCCACACTCTCTGCCCCTTGAATGTGTTTTTACTGTTTTCTCATCTTGCTCGCAGAGTTCAACAGCCAACGTTTATGCTTGCATCCGCATCACTACAGTGACAAACAAAAGAATAAATAATGAGTTTGAGGCCGTAGCCAAAATAAACCATTCTATTAAAGAACTGATGATAGACACACCTAGGAAAAGAGGAAGAGAGGACAGACGAAGATGACTTCATTCCCCAAGAATGAATGTCAGTGACAACTTGTATTCAACTTGTCACTATTTTAAATGACTATTTAAATTCACGTTCCATGATTAAAACACCAAAAGACGCAATCATGTTCAACAATAGACGCAATAAATCATTTCACAATAAATGTGAAGAACACTTGGCAGTAGTGCAGTGTAATTGCATACAGTTGCAGTTGTACCTCTCATAAAACAGGCTGAAGCAGGGGGCAGATCATTCCTCTGTCTCAGGTGTCTTCTGTGGTGGAGAAATTCTGTGAACTGCTTCACCCTCTGGTCCACAGCATCTTGAACCAGAGCTGTGACCTCCTGAAAAAACAAAGGTGTTTGATGGTTTCATTAGACTTAAAAAAGAGAGAGAGAGAGAAAATGATGAACAGAGCTGCAAAGGATCGAGTTTTCTACGTTTTTTTTTAGGTCTTTGTCAGAATCATTATTTAAAAGATGCATCTTAAAAAACGTTTTTTAAATTCGATAAAACCTAGATTTGCGGAGTTGTTGAACTTGAAAAGTAAAGGCTTATAGTTTTTATACAGATTACAATTACAAATTATTCTGTTCCAAGAAACTAATTTAGAATATGATACTACTACAGAACACCGAGGCAGTGGCAGGTTGACAAGTTGGTTTATTATCCTTATTTGATTATATCTTTTTAATTTTGAAACTGTTCATCCTTTGTGTGTAAGTGGGATTTTTTCCAATTGTTATTGTATAAGCAGCTTGCTGGTCAACAACCTGTGGTTATTTTCTGATTTTTTGTTCAGACATGGAGTTTCTGAAGAGTCAGACACTGCTGTCATTATTAAAATTTATTTTAAAAAAAATCTAAATCAGGGCAACTTTTTTTTTACAACAAACATGAGTTAACATGCTAGTTAAGTTCAATTACTAAGTTATATTATAGTGTATTTTAGTTTAGTCTTGAGGTATATCCGATCCTGCTCTCTCGCTGGAGACTGGAACTGTTGTGCACTCATAGAAAGCTTTGGGGTTTCTATGAGTGCACAACAGTTCCAGAAAAGCAGAAAGCTTAAAGTCATTTTAGATTCCATGCTAAAAGCTGTCCTGTGAAAAGGCCCCGCAGCAGAACAGAAGCCATATATTCAGTCACACACTTAGTCACACACACGTCCTTAGCCTTGTGTCGGTACCTCAATGTGGTCCATAGTAAACCAGCTGGCGTCCCCTTGACCGCCCAGGGGCAGAACGTGGAGATCCACCAACACAGCAAAATTCCCACACTGTAACACAAAGAGGAAGGACAGCCACAGGTTGCCAAGTGGCATTGAGCTCATAGACAACAAAGCAAATCAAAAGACAGGTGATTGACAGCGAGAAAAAAACACAACGACCCCCTATGTCCTCAAACATCACCCCAGGCCTCTCACAGCAGGTCCCCTCCCTCCTGTTTCTCTGTCTAGCCATCTCTATACCAATCTTTTTACAAAGTAGTATGTTCTTGTCTGTCTCCTCATATTTCCCGTCTCTTAGCGTAAAAAAAGTATCTTCCTGCTCTTTAAGCCCAGCACTGCAGTCATTGCCTGGGGTCACAATAGCCTGCACCACATCTAACAAGGCACCACATGAATGGGGATCACACTACTTTGTACCACAGAAGTGAGAAAACTCAGATCTACTCTAGAGCACTCCATGTTTCTGCCCTTTTACATTGCAACTCTGGAGTGCTGCAGAAGGCAAGAGTAGCTGCAGAGTGAATTCCTAAAGCACTACTTCATTGTGTCAATGACAATAAGCAACGAGGGTTAGGGAGGCCACAACAGCCACTGTTACATTTTTCTCAGGCTGGTCTGGTTATAGTTTAGACATAAGGGCAAAAGCTGCCTTTGTGTAAATTTGTCTCTCCTTGGACGAAAAAGTCCAGGATGGACTCGGACCACCCAAAACAGCCGGGGAGAAATGAAGAGTACTAACTGGAACTAAAATAATTAAGCAAACAGCAATTAACTTAATGAAGAGGCAAAAAAGGAACAGTCCTGGAAACTCAAATGTAGATGGTGATTTTAGAAGAAAGTGGAGCAGATTCATTTAGTAACAGGGAACGCTCATGCACACTAAAAGCTTTGTCTTGAGCCAAACCTGTCCCTTGAGCTTAAACACTGCAGACAGAATGACTAAGTTCTACAACACAGACTTGAGGGATCTTTGTACATTCTGGGTCTAAGGATGACGTGAGTTCAAGCAAGAACAGGGTGTGTAGCCCCTGACACTTAGTTCCTAATTTTGGACAAATGTCTATACTTCCCTTTCCCTCGTCCATCGAGTCTTCTCTGGAAATAAGACATCTCTCCTAAATTAACACACTCTCTTTGTTCCACTTTATTTGGTTTGCTGTGGTTGCTGTTAAAAAGATGGTTCAGAAAATGCCAAATGGCATCATTCAGTTTATCGTAAGACTTTATTTACGAGGATTAATGTGTGATATTTACTTTACAGTGAAACAGTTTTATTTTTTAATTCAGTTATTCTCCTATTTTGTTATAAAATCATATTTTTCCTAATCTGGAGTTTAGCTTGGTGCCTGGAAGTCTTTTTGACCCTAACACAAATATATTGGAAGCAAGAAGCTTTTATTTTGATATGGTGTTTATCGATTTAGATTTATTAAGTAGTTGCCATATACTGCACTTGTGCTTGTTCTTGAAACCACACCTTATTGTGTCTATTTTTAGCAGTAAAACCCTGAACTCTATTTTGTTTTTTTATTTGCTACTGAGCAAATTAACTTGCCTTGTATTTAGCATTTTTTTCCAAAGATGAACACGTGTCTGCATAAACGGTAACTGAGGCCCTCTCGCCTTGACTTGCTTGACAACTAGATGAAAGGGCGCCACCATATGACTGATGAGTGAATGCCTCGGGAAATTTAAGTTGGAGTGTATCTTCAACTTGTACATTATAATCGACGCCTTTTTCCTCATTTTGTGCAGTTTTTTACAATAAACTACTCTAAGTAATGAACATATATGTTGGAGGGGAAAAAAAGGAAGAAGTAAAATGTATTCAGTAGTAGTAATCAGAAGGCAACTGCCCCAAAATAGTACATATGAAAGGATAATTGAATAAAACACTGGAGTGCCTAACTGAAACACAATAAAGCAGATGTATGGACATATTATAAAATGCTGTAGAAACATTCACTATACCAAAGATGAACCACAAATGTGTGGTCCATCTTTTTATTATATAAATTATATATGTGTACTCTCTCCATTCCCTGGCCTTTGTCTCATGTCAATTCATGGGTGACTGGAGGCCTCAGCTGACTGCCCCCAACAATTACCAGTGTGTGGGAGAGCCTAGCAACACAGGGTCAAGACCCTGTCAATCCACGGAGGGAGCAACTAGTGGATGAGCCCCACCGTGGTTGTTTTGGTTTTGAATTGACACCCACTGGATGGCTTGGTGTTTTCTCTGGTGGATAAGTAAACATGTCTACCACCACTCATTAATCAGACCTGGTGATCAGGTAGTTTTACCTAACTGAACTAAAGACTGTGATAAATTCTTACAGTATAGTATACAAGGACCTCCAAACAGTACTGAGCAGTATTATCTTGACCCAAGATTTAGAAAATACTGATGACAGTAAGCTTTCAGTAATTTTCCACAAACAATAAAGGTCAAGTTGTTGCTTTTTTTTTATTGTAATGCAGTGTTTCTTTTTTCTATGAACACTTGGGATAATTCACTAAGTTCAAATCAGTAATTGGACAGTGCTGTCTGTCTGCTTTACAGTGGAGAGTGGTTGTGACCTCCTGTAGCCTATACATTTGATTAGCCCTCTAGTTAACTATACTCATACACAAGCTATTATAAGCTTTAAAAAGCAACACAGGAGTAATTTGATCAATACCTTAAAAAAGCCTTGGGCAATATAAGGTTTAGAGGGGTAATTGTGGAGAAACACTGCAGGGTGAATCCCCTCAAGTGTTTTCTGAGCGCCTTATTGAGTGTGCGTTGGGCTGACGGCCAGACATCTAGTCTTGGACTAACTTCCTTTTATCACATTAGGAGCAGCAGACGAGACTCAACTGGGAACTCGAAATTAATGATAAACATTGGTCTGTCCTTTGCACTAAAAGCATGTGATACCTCAAATTTCTTAGGAATGGGGGGATTTTGACAGGAATGCAAACTAATGCAATCAACCTAATAAGAAAACAATTTATCTGCCAGGCCAAACTTGTTGGTTTGCTGGAGGTAGAAATTTGCCTCCAGCGTGTCAGTCTGTGTTTCAGCCGTGGCAATATTGCTTTAACAAAGAACGTTTGTGATGCATAAGGCACATAAAGAAAAGCAGCAGAAAAACACAAAAGGCTCTGACCACATTCAAGTCATGTGGTCTAAATTTGTCAATCCTAGTACAAAGAGTGACCGGTGAATCTCCAGCATGAACTCTGCAGTGAACTTTGACCTCTACATATCCCCCTTAAAGCCCAAAGGTCCCTCTGAAGTGAGATGTGTACAAACAGCCTGATACTTTGTCGGTGTAATAAATCAGACTATAAGAACTACATTCCTAAGCAGAAAAAAGAGGACATTCATTAAGAATACGTTCTAATTATAGTTTAACTTTTTTTATGTTCTTTGTATGAACAAATTCAGGGTTTCTGACACTGAAAGAACAGGTCAACAAAGTGAACAGCTCATAAAGGAAGTCAGTCTTTTCATACACACTATAGTTGGCTACCATTGCTTGATTCTGTTTGCAGAGGATTTTTTAAGCAATGAACACAAGCCGAGGGCTGTAGAAGAGGCAACAAGGAGCACTATTTAATACCGAACCCTTTATTCTGCCTCTTTTGTGTTTGGTTACACATTGAATGAATAATGAAATGTTGTGAGTCTTCCTGCAGGCTAAGCTCAATCTTTTATCCTTAATCTCCCCTCTGCCAATCTGATAGTGAATGCCTGTAAAAATACAGTCAACAAAAACAAAACTTGAGAAACATTAGCAACCAGTTAAGTAAAATCCAAAACGTCACCAAACTTTATATTTCCTGCCTGTAAACAACCTCTCAGGTCAGAGGCACTGTTGGCTATTTTCCCTTTCTGGACTTTAAAGCTCTGGTCTATGTCAGTCTCAGTTCCCAAAACACTCTCTACCTTCCCTTATCTCTCTCCAAAACCAAGCTCTTCATCCACCCGCCTGGGCTTCTCCAAGTTGGGCACTGGGCCCAAAGTCTATATGCAACCTCACCCGCCTCCCCACCTCACTTACTGCCCTTTGCCATTGCTATCACGGCGTATAAGAACCAGACCTTTGTGGACTGCACTTAGCTCAGAGGCTAACACTAACCAGCCGCAGATGTTTACATTGGGAAAGAAGGGGCAGCAGATGCAGTCTCACTCAATACAACTGCATCTTTCCCTTCTTTTCCCTTTGTTTCCCTGTCTTTATTCCTCTCTGCTTCCTTGTCTTTCCGACTTTCTGTCTTTTACTGGAAAGTCTACAAAGAACCCAAGGGATCTCTTCAGATCTGTGGGTGGGACAAAAAATGCTTTCAGTTCTTCTTTAACAGTTTTTTTTTTTTTTTTTGTGACGTGAGTCATACGGCTTTCCTCCGAAAAAGCATTTCTACATTTTTTGTTAAAACTTTTTGAAAGTTAAAACTGTGAGCTAGCCACCTTCGTTGAGGTTAAAGTTAACACACCTGAGCCCTCTTTATTTGACGATAAAAACACACAACCCAGGAGCAGAATTCCAGCAGCAAGAACAGACAGGAATATCTCCAGGTAACACACAGTGAACAAAAGTGAACGAGTCGAATCAATAAGAAACTAATAGTCACTGGAACAGCCGGACGAAATTATGAGGGTGGTGCTTTGTCGCTGAGAAGGGCGGTTTTCTCCTTTTGGGAAGTGCCAAAATGTTTCTAATGAGACTGAAGTAATTATGTACGAAGCATGATGTGTGGTCCGTTATGAGCTCATCTGCAGAGTGACAACAACATTAACCAGCACATAATCCTCCAATATTAAAATGTTCTGCAATACCTCAAACTTTCTATTCTGTAAAACACTTTTGTCTTTGTCTGAACTTACAATACAAATGCATGCTGCTAATAGAAGGCAGATTCAGGATTCTGCTGCAGTAATGCCCTGGAAAACAAAGTCCTTCATTGGATCACTTTTAGCCTGCAGGGACCTTCCAGGAGGTTGGAGAACTTGCAGGTCAGTTTATAGTTTTAACCTTTTTAAAGAGAGCAGAGCAGCACCCCCTGCAGGCCCATAGACTGGAGAGGAAACGCCACATAAAACATATTTATTTTCATAATCCCCACTTTTTGATTTTACAAGAGAAATGGTTTCACACTGATGTCTAGTCTTTACTGTTTTAATGAGTGAGTTCAATCATTAAACATTTAGGGAGAGTGATGTTTGTTTTTCAAAGGAGAAGCACTGGGTAATGCCTTAAATGCTTCTCTCTTGACTGATCCCTTCTATCGTAATTGTTTGTGGTTAGCTGGTTAAGCATAGTAGAAGCTGTCTGACTGTGGATTTTCTCAGGCAAAGTATCAGAACAGTATCATTATGTGCCCAGTGGGAAGGAACCTTCCGTAAACCTCCAGGGTTTCACTCCCACACAAACAACAGAGGGGGTCGTGCAGTGGCCTGTATGCAACAGGCATATGAAACAAATAAAGGCAGTCGATGTAATATCTGGCTAACTAGACACACGGCATTATGGAGGATGTGAGAGATCAGTGCATATGTCTGCAGCCCTCAGACAAAACTCTGAATAAATGAAAAATCAACAAACGAGAGATCAGTGGCTTTCCCAACAATTAACAAAAACATCTGCTGTGCGTTATTACTGACAGAGAATCAGACACGGGATGACCTGCTTGGCTTTTAAGCATAATACGTTTCCTCTTCTCTATGTCCGCAACCAATGACAAAATGCTCATGGAGAGGCAGTCAGTTTAAATTTGCAGGGGATGAACAGAAACAACCAACGAGGAATGAATAACAAGCAAGACTACGAAGGATGAGACAGTTGACAGATATAGCTTCACCGCCCTCTGGTGGTAGATTTGTTCCATAGTCCTCCGTAACCAAAGCCATTTGTTTGTACGTAAGGCAGTTCTACCGTCTGCCAGTAGAACAAACAACGATGTTGTAATGAAACTCAGCGCAAGTGACTATGAAGCCATAATTAAAAACAGATTTAAATTATTCTTTTGTCTTTCGCTTCGTGTGTGTCTTCCATGGGAACTAAAGAGATTATTGGGTTTGTGGTCAGACAAGCCCGAAGAGGTCTTGTTTCAAAACGAGATAGAGTTCACAAAAAAGTAAATAATGAAATTTTCTTTGATACGACAATCGGATTTAAATATTAAGTTTTGGTACAATTTAACCGTGTCCGATTTATAAATGGTGTGTTGAGTATGCAAAGCCAATCTCAAGCCAATCTCTTTCGGTTAAGCCTCTAAATGTGACAGTCTTTTTTCTGTCTTCCCCTTCTTCTTTTTCTTTCGGTTTTGTCCCCTTTTTAGGGGTTGCCACAGCGAATCATTGATTTCCATCTCTCCCTTTTCTCTGCATCTTCTACTCTGACTCCAACTATCTGCATGTCCTCCCTCACTGCATCCATATATCTCCTCTTTGGCCTTCCTTTGTCTCCTACCTGGTAGCTCCATCTCTAACATTCTTCTACATCAATTTTTCAGTCTTCCCCTACTACAGAAAATGATGGTGTCTACTAGGTCTGAGCATCAAGAACACTGACATTTTTTAAAACTATTAACACAAACAGTCCACTTACCTTAATGACAAATTTGTGAGGAGCCATTACAGAAAACGATGAAAACCTAGGAAATTGTACCGTCATTAATGTCAAATAGTGAGACATCTACCTTACCTAAATGTGTGTAACTACAGCTGTTCTCTTTTATTGATGATTTAATAGTTGTTGTTTTTTTCAATTACATTTGCCATAAATCGAATCAAAGGTTGTTTTAATTTCTTAACAATCGCAAGCAGCGTTGATCTGATAGAAGGACAAATTACTCTTTTAAATGTCAGTACTCAAAGTAAAACAAAAATTCTATACTAACACCCAATATGTTGTAAATTTCTTCTTAATTGCATTAAATTTCGGAAACAGCACATACCGCCAAATGTTTTGAACGTCAACGTGTGCGGCGTCTTCTGATGATGTCACATTGTAGTATAACCCCAAACCTCCAACAATTAAAACTTTTTTTTTAACAAAATGTGTTATTAATCAATAGCAGTAAACAAAAAGGACTGTTTCTTATATTCTACAGTGTTGCTGGAGCTGAAACATGTATTCAAGGGGTAATGTCTACGTTTTAAAAATATTTCCTAATTCTTATGCGACTCCTATTAGAATAGGACCTCACTAGGACCCTAACGTTTTAACGGCTACCATAGAAACGAGTGTTTAAAGACAGATAGTCGACATATATTATTTTAAGATATTTATTGTACTTAATAAAAACATACTTTAAGGTAAACACTCATACTGTATGTTTTCAAAACTATTCTGATTAATACTTTTTTTTTAAAACCCTTAAAAACACGACATTTTCATCAGGCAAAAAGTAACCGCATAATAAGTATGTCTAATTTTAACGTTGTTTTGTTCACCGTTGAACTTAAAGATTTAAAGACTTCATAGGTCGAAAGAAGATTTAGATAGTAGATGTGTGATGTCTCGACTTGTTCCGAAAGCTCCGTCTGCATGTTCGGATTTACCGCTAGACAACGCCGAAATTTGCCACAAGCTCATTTTGCTGAAGGAACTCCTGACATCCTCTTTTGGTCCTACCGGAAAACTAAAACAAATCCATAACAACATAGGAGGACACGTCGTCCTCACCTCGACCTCATCAGTCCTACTCCAAGCTATTTCATCCTCACAGCATTTTGTCAATCTAATCAAAACATCGATTCTCAACCATGTTTCACGTTTCAGTGACTGTGGTTTATTTGCTGCTGTTCTGTGCTTAACACTTGTTGAGCTAGCAAAGCAATCTGGCCTCGCAGAAAATGTGAGCGTCAGACTAAACAAATATTTTCTGGATTTGTGCGTCAGCTACATGCAGGGAGAAGATTGTGGGTGCAGAGTGAAACTTGACTTTTCCAACAGCCACAACTTGATCACATTAGCTCGTAGTGTTATCTCTAGCAAACCAGCATGCATGCTGACGGTGCAAGAGGTTTTGCACATCAGCAAGCTGGCTGTGCAGGCTTTTCTGCTGACTCTTCCTTGTGACAAGCCAGGTACCATTACGTTGGGCAGGACAGTGACCATCACAGTTGAGGGCTATTCTGTACTTAATTCTGAAGTGTTTACAGGTTTACTAGTGGATGTCACCTGCGACCTTTGCCTCAACAGGGCAATAAACCTAAATTCAGGTGCATTGCCAGTGGTGGTGTTTAGCACATCGCTAGCAGGAGATTTTTCAGAACTAGGAGAAGGAATAATAGAGGTGCTTGCAGGTGTAGACTCAGAGTCACAGATCCTGGAACAACTGCTGGAGCTTGGCAAACAGGTGGTTAAAGATGATGTTAAGCTCTTTGTATGTCAGAAGGTCATCCATCCAGTCTTGCAGCAGTACATGAGAAGTCAAGGCATTATCGTGATGGAGAGATTGGGAGTCAACCTTATGGAGCCAATTATTCAGTTGACAGGTGGGTTTCAGATGGCAGATTTACAGGTACAGTTGACATAATGCAGTTTTATGGAACTCTTAATTTTGTGATCCCTTAATAAGTACAGGTATACAATAAAACAAAGTTATGATATGAATAGGAGAAGGTGAA